GGGCTGGGGATTCGAACCCGCCACCTTAGGTGTACGTGGCTGGCGCCCTAGCTGGTTGAGCTATAGGCGCCGAGCCTGCATTATTGTTTCTAACGAGTCTCCAACCCCAATTCATCCTCCAGAGTTCTCACTCCAAGAAACAGATTCAGTATGTCAGTATGTCAGTAACCCTGCTTACATCTTTTAAAAATGAGAGTTAAATTTTCTCCAGGATAAAACCTTTCTCTGCCTACATTCCTTCCTTATCACTTACCTTGCTTCAAAATGCTTAACACCATTTTCTGTAACCACATTGAGTACTTCTAGAACCTTTTGAGATATTTTTGCTTGTGTTATCTTTTTGCTTATGATGTTCAGTAATGGAGCTTGGATTTGACCTTGAGTATTAGATTCCCAATTAAGTATTTTCTTCACAACTGCCAATCCTCTAAGCTTCCTCAGTACTGTCAATTGGAAGTGGTTTCTCCCTTTTTTGGCCTCCCCTAGTACTTTTTAAAAAATCTGTTTTCATGGCTGTGATCATACTTTACCTTGCCTTTATATCCCTGTCTCTCATCCTCTAAGGAGATTTTAACCTCTGAATAAAACCCTCATGGTTGCTGGTTGCTTGTTGCTCAGTGATTAGGGTGCTGGCCACATACACTGGGGCTGGCAGGTTCAACCCCAGCCTGCGCCTGCCAAACAATAAGTACAACAAAAAAATAGCTGGGTATTGTGGTAGGCGCCTGTAGTTCCAGCTACTTGGGAGGCTGAGGCAAGAGAATCGCTTAAGCCCAAGAGTTTGAGGTTGCTGTGAGCTGTGACAGTATAGCACTCTACCGAGGACAACAAGGTGAGACTGTCTCAAACAAAAAAAACCCTCATGGCACCTAGCAATGTCTTAATGCGTTATACTTTGTATTAAAATACTTATGTTCATACTTTATAAGCATCCCAAGGGTTATCTTTGTGCTTTCTATGATGGGAGCATCAAGTTAGCTCAATGAATAAATATCAGTTAAATAACAACTCAGTAAGAACCTACTGAATAGCCTAAAAGTATTATTTGATGAAAAGGCATTCTATCTAGGATAATTCAGGCATTTTTCTATAGTGAAAATTTGGAAAACATTTATTCCTGCATGGCATATCAATGGCCCAGTAGTTATAAAGATGTACAAACACTCTCTACTGTGAACTCCTTCTCTTTCTCCATAAGTTGCCACATCTCTAGCAGCACTGGGTTTTTCTTAGTTTCTGGCAATGTAGTATCAACAATATATTTTCACTACCCAAAGTTTGCAGAGGCAGTTGAAACCCAATGTTTGAGTGACTTGCTCCAGGACACCAGCTTAAACAGTTAAGAGGTGATCAGAATCTGGTCTCTTAACTCTTCATACAGAACTATTTCTTTTCCTTTATGTCCACTTCTTTTTCTTCCATGATGTAGACCAGAAAGTGATCTGCCATGAGAGTTAAAAGATCCTGTATCTTGGGCCTCAGTCTTCTCAGGCCCCATCTTCCATGATATAGACCAGAAAGTGATCTGCCATGAGAGTTAAAAGATCTGTGTCTTGGGCCTCAATCTCTCTGTATAAGGAAATGATTAGGCAGAATAATCTAAGTTCCTTT